AATATAGTTTAAACTCATGCAGGATCGTGCTTTCAAAGCCCAGGGATGGAGCGGCGAGGCAATAAATCACAAATCCTTGTGAAAGGAGGGACTTGAAAAAGGAAAGTCCCATAGACATCAACATTAAGTGTTTAGCAACAGTTTTCTTTTGACTGCTCTCCTGTCTGTGTTCTGCCTGTGGACACATCCAAGGCACAGCTCGGTTCTCTTTTCCTTGTTCCCTCCTGCCCCTGTGGCTGTTCAGCCCTGGCTGCCTCACTGTCCACACTTGGGATTTTCCTCTGTTATTTCCTTTGCCCAGAGAAGCTGTGGCTGCCCCAGCCCTGGAAGTGTCCAAGGCCAGGTTGGACGGGGCTTGGAGCATCCTGGGCCAGTGGAAGGTGTCCCTGCCCATGGCAGGGGGTGGAACAGGATGAGCTTTAAGGACCCTCCCAAGGGGGGCTGTTGTGGGATTTGGTGACTGCAGCAAACCCTGGGAGCAGCAGCAGTGCCTGTGGCAGGGGTCAGGTTCGAGGTGCTGCCCCACCAGCACAGTGTGGAACACGTGTCTCACACCTGCTGCTCTCAGCTCTGGGTGCTGACAGGGCTTTGGTGAAGGTGTCCAAGGACAGAGTGGTTTGTCTGGGCTTCCTCACCAGGCAAACTGTGAAACTGCAACACGACCCCGCAGCAAAGAGTGGAATGAATGGCTGACACGTGGACAAATGCAATGTACAGGGGCCAGACGTGGGCATGGCTTTGGCAGAGCAGGTCGAGCTCCAACACTGAGCAGGCTGGGAGAAGCCAGGGACCATCTGAATGGGATGGTGGGTTTGCCATGGCAGGCTTAGATTTCCAAAAAAGATTTGACAGAGGCTCATAAAGCAATTAAGCTGTCACAGGATGAGAAGGAGGATCTTCACGTGGATTAATAATTGATTAAAAGACAGGAAACAAAGAACAGGAATAATGGCCCTGGGTGATTAGTAACTAGGTTACTGGTGGAGCTCCAGTGGAACTGGTGGAACCTGCATTGTTGGTAACTGTGGGCCATGGAAAGCATGTGAATGCTGATGTGACAAAATGTGCTGTTGATACAAAAGAGTTAAGAATAGTGCAAATAAAAGCTGTCTGTGAAGCACTGCAGAGGTATCCACAGTGCTGAGTGACAGGACAATAAAATGAGAGAGGGAATTCAGTGTCAAAGAGTGCAAAATAATATACATGGTGAAAAGCAACTGCAACTATATGTGTAGAATCACGGGCTCTAATTACCTTCCATCCGTCAGGAAAAGTATCCTGAGTAGTTCCTCTGATCACTTCAGCTCCAGGTCAGAAAGATAAATGGAACTTCAGGAATTAGGAAAGGAGTGGGGAACAAACCAGTATCACTATGCCAGTCCATAAATCCTGGTGTGGCCACATCTTATTTGCAATATTTTGTCTCAAAAAAGATAATGCAGAAGTAAAGAGATACAGAAAGGGATGAATATGGAAGTGAATCAAGGAGCAGGTGCTGAGGAGGAAAGGGCTTTCCTGGTGTGGAAAAGGCGCACGGGGGTGCAGGAGGTGTCTGTGGAGTGCAGGGGCTGGGCTGGTGAATTGGGAGGGTTTTATCCTGTTCTTAGGCAGGAGCTGCTCCCCCGAACCTCGGGCTGGCAGTGGCTCTGTGGAACAAAAGGGGATTCTTTTCCTCACACAGTGCAATAAACTCGGGTGTATAGGCTCAGTTTTAAGCCACTGGGGTTTTTGTTGATACTGATCTGTTTAGTTTAGGCTTGACAAGTCCACAAACATGAAATATTCTTTTTGTAATCCTTAGTTCACCCTAATAACTAGTTTGGAGATGGAGAGGGGTTTGGCTGGGGTTTTGTTTAAAGCCTGGTTCCCCGTTGCAGTGTTAGTGTTGTTTATTGTGCAGATTCACCCCTGACCGTGGCATTCTTCATTGCTATTGAAAGTTAATGGGGGAAAAATTGCATTCCAAACATTTGAACCCGTGGTAGCCATGGCTGAACTTAGTTGATCTCTGGTGATCGGTTCAATTTAGTTACGATTTTTAGCCATTAGGCTGGGGCTGAATGATGGTGATTTGGTTGAGGCCAAATGTCTGCAGAAAATTGGCTGTTTGATAAGAGCCCTGTTATCAGAGGGGGATACTTTCTCATTTACATTTAGATGAGTATTGATTATTTATTTACTCAGAGAAGTGAGATTCGTTCCCAATCTTATCTCTCTCGTCTCTGCTTGTCAGCAGAAAGAGAGAGAGAGCTCCTGACAACAGCCCAAGATAACAGCACTTTGTAGTGGAGATAAAAGTTGGAATGGGCCTTTTTCTAGTCTTGACTGAAAGGATAAGTTTTAAAAATTAGAACTGATGGGTCGTGCTTTCAAAAGCCCTTTCTGAAGGCTTTGCAGCTTAAATGGCAGCAGAATTGGTTTGTTGGTATGCGGGTGGCCATTCCCCCTGTAAGGGAGACACTTAATTTGATTATATGGTGGGATTCTTCCCGGCACCTCTGTGTGTGCACAGGGAAGCTGTGGCTGTTGGCAGCTGCTTCCTTGGGTTTAATTCCTGGTAAACATTCCTCTCTTTAAAGGAGTCTCTTGGAATAGCCAAGCAGGGTGGGTATCTGTGGGCAGAACCCGTGGTGTGAGTGGTTGAACAGGGAGCACTGGGAGCTGCCATCAGTGGGAGAGCTTGGCTTGGGTCCCTGGCCAGGACCATCCGTGCCAGGATTTTAAAGGTTTATTTTGCAACTGCATGGAGTGTTTGCATGGGATTACAGAAATCCACAAAATCCAGCTTTGGTATTGCCACTTGAAATCTTGTTGAAATTCACCGAGCGGGATTCCAGTAGGAGACCATTAAATTATCCAATGTTCCTACTGCAGTGACATCATTTGAACTTGTGAGAGAAGCCTGGTAGTAAAACTCCTCCACAGAGTCAGCCTAACATTCTTCATCTGTTGGGAAGCAGAGGTCATGTAAATGTGGACAGATATTTAAAGCATTATTGAAGAGTAGATACTCTCTTAAAATCCATTTACGCTTTTCTTATTCATTTCTTAGTATTTTCTGTTTTCAAAGAGTTATCCAGAAGGCAGGTTGACCTGTTTCCTCTCCAGAGCTCTAGTTCCCTGTTTTATTAGCAGAGTTAATACAGGCTGGACACAAACTGGATAAAATAATTTACCTGATCACAGAATTCTCAAACTGCTCCAGATAAAAATCCTCCTTTGCCACTGGCAGGGTGATTTGGAGGGTGTGATCCCTGTTGGCTCTCCACAGGGTCCAGCAGCATGAGGACTGTTGCTGACACAGGTGATGATGTTCTTTGGAGTGGATCCAGCTGCTGGAATCAGATCCACACAGAGGGATGGGGAGCCCCTGCCACACTCCTGTGTTTAACCTTGTGGCAGCCTGGGGTGGTTTGAAGGCTTTGGGAGCATTGATGTCTGTCCTTTGCCTCATCCCACTGGCTGGGAGGCACCAGGAGAGTTCATCTCTCTGTGCTGGAGGTCCCCTGGGCTGGCACTCAGCCACTGGTTCCAAGAGAGGGGAATTTCACTCTGATTTTGGGTGGGTTTGGGGTGGAGCAGGACAGAGGCTGTGGTGGGGCTGGGGCACAGCGAGGGCACTGGTGTCAGCAGGTGCCATCCTGGGCACACTGCTCTGAAGCTCCAGTGGCAGCAAGAGGCTCTGTCTGTGGTGGGAGTGCCCGGAGCAGGAGTTTGGTACCTGGTACCAACAGCACCAATGTCCAGATGGGAACCAGCAGTTCCCTCAGGTGGAGCTTGGGAATCTCTGGAAGGTGCTTGTGGCAAATGGACAAAGCCAGCAGGTTTTGCTGTCACTGATCCTGTTCTTAAACCTACACTGGTTTTTAAATCCAAATTGATTTACTGCTTTGAGATTTGTTTCAATTCAGTATATTTTGCTTCTGCCTAACAAGCCAGGCCTCTGTTTATTTAATTTATTTTAAATTGTTAATCACATTTCCAGTAGCTGGGAGAGGAGCAGCAATAGTGCTGGGTCTGTTTGCCTTTCTTTGTGCTGCACTGAGACGTCTCCACTGCTTCTGGAGTGCAGTTTGTGCTGCAGATGCTTCGACAGCTCCACGTGCCATCACTGGCTGTGCTGGGCAGGGTGGGAGCTGCTGGGTTTCCTCCTGTGTCCTGCAAAAAGCCTGGCACCACATCTGCTCTGTCACTGGGAACAGGGGGGCTCTGTAATGTTCTGATGGGGAGGAAACACGCCTGGGCCGAGCAGCTTCACGTGGCTTTGGGGAGATGGAATGAGAAGCCATAATTGAAATTCTGCTGTAGTAAATTTAAAATTAATTGGCTAACAAATTCCATTCCTTAGGCATGCCATCCGAGGCTGAAAGACTTAATTTTTTTATATGTTTTAAATATTTCATCATACATGCTCATAATTCAACGTCAGGAAACAGTCAGAAATATTTTAAGTACTGATAAAGGGGGAATAGATTTCGTTATTTCAGTTCTATGTTTTTTGTTACATTAAGACCTGGTTAAAGGTGCTTTGCATTACTTAAGGTTTTTCAGGTATCTGTGTAGCATTATTTTGCCAGATTATACTGAAATCACACAGCTGAGAACTTGGTGTGCCCTTCATGTCTCAGGTGTGAGCAGGAGTGGAGTCACCCCACGCTGTTGGAGGGTGGGAGCACAGCCCCCACCAGCTCCTGCCCTTGGGAGGGGCTTTCCTTCCTCCAGGGTCCCACATGGAGCTCTGTGCACTTGGGTCTCCCCCTCCCTGACCACTGCCAGGATGGCAGGGCCAGAGCTGACTCCTGGGGGTTCACCTGGAATTGTATCAGGTTCCACACCATCCTCCACCTTCTGCCAGGGCCCTTTCCTTTGGCAAAGAGCTTTGAGACATCAACACCCACCTGCTCTGCTCCTGGGCTGCAGGTAACCTTGTGTTAGTTGAACGTGCTAAGCCATCACTTTGTTAGAAAACAGATGATTTTACAAGTTACTTTATGTTTCAGGTCCTCAGTATCGGCTGGAGAAGCAGAGTGAACCTAATGTCCCAGTAGATTTAGACTGTACCTTGGAGAGCCAGAGCACTTTGGAATTCTGCCTTGTCCGGGAGAACAGTATGTTTCCCATTTTCACTTTTGCTCTTGTAAACTGCTTAAACTCACTTAAGTTATGTATTTTGGAACACAAGCTGTGCTGTCTGGGCAAGTACATTTTGACGAGACTCTCTGTCCTGAGGCACTTTCCATGGTGCCAAAACAATATTCCAGAGGGAAATGATGGATTTCATACCTCTAGTAAATAGTCTGCATCCTGTTTATCACTTCATGATTAATCTTTTGCTGTTAAACTCTGCTCTGTAAAGTTATGACCAACCCTGAAAAACACGAAATATGAACCTGTCTGTGTTGCAGAGGCTGCTCAGTGAGTCGAGGGGTTGGTCTGCAGTGTGTTGTGCCAGGTCAATGTGGCTGTCAGAGGCACTGGGGTTTTCTAATAAAATTTAAAGAAATTAGCCATGCAGAAGTAACTAGAGCAGTTTAATGATTTTTGAAGTGCCAGACAAATAATCTTCTCTCCAGCTATGCTCAAATATTTTTATTCTATTACTGTTTTAATGTTCTAATATTATTTCCTTATTTATTTCTTTTCATGAAATGACATGAAACTTTGAAAAAAAGACACCTAACATTCATTTGTGTTTGTTTCCATAGCATTTTGGTTCATTCTTCATTCCTTACAACAGTCACACTCTCGGTTTTGGGGTTCTTCCCTTCCATTTTGTGTAAAAATGTTGATTGTACTAATGAGTAAAACCAGTCCCATTCCTGCTCTCAGCCAAGCCCACGCTGCACACAGCCAGAGTGAGAGCCTGTTTTGAGTTGTAGAAGAGGTTTTTCTTTCTGTGCAAAGATTAGACCCTTCCACTGATGCTTTTTGGCCGTAGCAACTGTATTTTATCTCCAAATGGCAGCAGAGCCTCCCCAAAGCACCTCCTAATTCCAGCAGAGAGTAGCAGCCCTGCTCTGTTCATGGAATAGCAGAGGTGAGACACAGCACCAGGAGCCCCCCAGACCTGCAGCAATGCTGGGGCTCACATTAACACTCTCAGGTTTGGCCACTGCTCTCCGTGGGGTGGGACTTGCTCCCAAAATATTCCTGGTGCTCCTGGTTCATTTCTTCATAAAATGGTTCAAAGAAACTGTAGGAGAGACCCTGGCAGGGGGGAGCAGAGGGGCTGTGCCCACGGCAGGAGGGAGCAGGGGGGCTGTGCTGAGGAAATGGAGCAGTTCTGACCTCGCTAATCGAGTTGTGCTCCTCCACAAGCCAGAATTCCCCGACGTCTGCAGCCCACCTATTACTTTTGTATTGATTTTTAATCTATGAAATGATGCACACTAGTCATACTTCCATAGGCTTTGCATGTGATTTAAAATAACATTTTTTTTAACCAAGGCTCTGTAATTAAAAGAATATTGTATATACTTCATTTTTAATGAATTTTCATCGTCTGTGGAGGAATCCAGGCTGTGGCCTATAGCTGTATCTTCTGCAGGTCTTTGCTGTCATGAGTGACTTGGGTTCAAGTTGCACTGTTACTTTGACAGTAAATCTGTCTTAAGTTTGTAAGTTCTGTAGCAGGAGGCAGTGGGTCTGCTCTGCACGAGCAGCAAACACTCCAGGAGAGCCTCAGGGGCCTTGGCTCAAAATAATTGTCAATAAATGTAGCGTTGAGGGGACGCTTTTCCCTTTCCCCAAAGTCCTTGTGCTGCATCACTCCTCTGCCCTCCCAGGCCAGGGGACACCAAAGCAAGCCCTGCTTCTCTGCAGAGCAGCACGTGGAGAGGTGTGGGATGGACCCCGAGGCTGCCAGGTCAAAATTCCCTCAATGGTGAGCTCTCCTGCCCTCCTTTAGCAAATTGATGGTGCCCATCTAAGGGCATGATGTGGAGCCCATCTGGGATGGGGATTCCCATGACAGGGAACACCCTGGGCTGGACCCCAAGGACTCCCTCGGCTCATTGAGGTCCTGGTGCTTCTCCAGCCACCATCCTTCCCATCTGCAATGGCATCACTGCCTAGGTGGTGGCTTTTGGTCCCAGCCCTGGGTCTTGTGTTCATCAGCCATGCCTGGCACACGGGAGAGCAGAGGCAGAACTGACACTTTGGAGTTCAGGAGCAAGTCCCAGCTTTGGGTTGCTCAAGGCTGACAGGAATCTAGGCAAAATAATGAACACTTTGGTGAGTTCTGCCTCTTTTCTGAATTGATCCCAAACTTTAAATTCACCCATTTTGGGGGCAGAAACTACAAACATAACATTTCTCCTGGCTTATGTTTGTCGCTTCTGCCCCCAAAATGGGTGAATTTAAGGAGATCCTGCACTGTCCCTGCTCAGGGATTTGTGTTGGCCCTGCACACAGAGGGGCTCAAGGGCAGTGCAGTGTGTGAGATCAGTCACAATCCCTGACTCCCCCTGCACAGCCAGAAAGTGCTTTTTGGGGTGCTTAGGAGGTATCTTTTGGTGTGACATTAGAATAGAAATATTGACAGTTTTGCACTATTAATAAAATAATGGCTTGACAATCCTATCATCAGACTGAAATATTCACTTTGTGCATTCTGTCTTGATTTGAAATACTTTTAGCTTCAATATGCCAGTCAGGAAAAGCTCTGTTGTAACACCTATTGCTTGTAAATGTGCTCTTCATAGTCTCATAGTCATTTATAAATATATATATGGATGATGCCAAGCATCTGCTGGGGGAAGAGCTGCCACGTTCCTTTGGGCAACAGAAAGTTTATATTTCAGGGTATTAAATGAAACAAAGAACTTTCCATTATTAAGAAATATGTATGGAGAAATCCCCTTTCCATCCAGCATTTCCTAATAGCATTCAAGCTAATAAACTGCTTCCAGTGTGCAGAACTTTTAACTCGAACAAAGATTTATCTTTAAACTGAAAGCTGCACTTTGTAATGTGAAATGCCTTTATGTGTGGTAGCAAACCGTTCATGGCTAATTTAGTTTTATTCTTGCCATCTTACTTCTGGAAAGTTCCTCTTTCTCATTTTATCATTAGATAGTAATTAGTATTCAAGGGAAATTGGTCTTAATATATTAAAATTGGTTTAGTGCCTTTAGACCTATAGCAAAGCCAATGTCTTATTGGAAAATGTAATTGGGGACTCTGTGTATGTAATTAATTGTATTGCAATTAAGAACTTTCATTAAGCAATATTCTAGTACATTAAAGTAATAAGGGACATTTTTGCAGTGCAGTTAACTTTGTATTTTGTTGTTTTATCGAGGAAATACAGGTTCACTTGCTCTTGAATAGTCTGCATATGGCATTTCAATATTCTGGTATTCCTAATGAGTCATTTTTATCTGTCCTCTGGTGCTGGCAGGGGTCCCTGTTGGAGGAGGCTCCTGGTTTAGCTGAGTCCCCATCAGAGGAGGCTCCTGTTTAGCTTCTGCCTTGTTTCAGACCCGTGGTTCTGGTGCTGTTTGTCTCATTTGGAAGTCAGGAGTTTCAATGAGGGGTTGGCCCAGGGACCAGTTTAACTCCGTGTGTCCCAGTGTCCCTCTGGGTCCGTGTCCTGCCATCCTCAGGCACAGGATCCCTGTGATGGGGCAGTTCCTGGCTGCTCCCCCGAGAGCAGCAACTCAGAAATCCTGTGAAGCTGAATCTGTTCACAAAGTTCATGAAACAGAGGTGGCCAAGGTTATGGACACACAGCAGATCTGAGAGGCTTCCAGGGCAGGATCCTGCCCCGGGGCTGCAGCACTGGCAGGTGCTCACAGGTTTAGTTACAGCCACGTTTTTTTTCCCTGGATGTGACCTGGCAGGCTGTGAATTTTCTTTCTAATACTTTTATTTTGGGTAAGTGAAATGTGAGAAGCCTGAGCATCATCAGAGCTGTGTAACATTGTCCCGTGGTGTCCCCCCTGTGCCACAATCCCAGGTGGGTGGCCAGACTGGGCCAGTTCAGAGCCAGGTGGGGGGTCAGGAGCACAGGGACAGTGGTGCCCTCAGGGTGTCCTGCGGGTCCTGATCCTGTGAAGTGTTCCAAGCACATTCCACAGGAGGTGTGGGAGGGAGGTCGGTGTGTTGCCACTGTCTGTGATATTTCTGCATTTCTGGTCGCTGCTGGTTCAGTTTGGCTGTGGGTGCTGTGTTTAACACCCTCCTGCAGCACTGCCCATCACCAGCCAGAGCCCTGGCACTGAGTTGGCAGGGGCAGCACGTGGCCCCTCACTCCCACTGGGAACCCCTGTGCACCTGGGAGCAGGGATTTGTTAGGGACAGCACTGAGGATGTCCCTGTGTGAGGCCCAGGGCTCCTGTCCCCCCTCTTGCAGTGTCCCCTTGTCGCTGTGGGTCCTTCCCTGCCCCGGTGTCCCCATCTGTCCCACATGTCCCCACGTGTCCAGCCACAGCTCTCACCCCAGCAGTGTGTCATGGCCCCACACTGCAGGGACAGGGCTGCAGGGGCATGTCCCTGCTTTCCATGGGGGAGGAGGGTCCCAGCTGGCACCCAGCAGCAGGGCTGCCCTGCCACTGCCACCCTCCTGCCTCACTCTCAGGCACTGCCATGCCACAGCCTTTCAAGAGGCTTTTAAGTGCACCAAAAAGTTTGACATATCTCAGTGTATCTTTGGAGTAGTGCAGCATGAGGGTTTGACATGATACATTATGATAATCCATAGTATAGAGACATTAACACAGGGGTCTGTGACAAAATGCATTGTAATGTCTTGGAAGGAGCCATTACAATTTATCTTGTCATTCTGGAGCATGGAGTGGTTGCAGTGTTAAGATGGCTCTGCATAAATTCACATGGAGACTGTTTCATTTGATTTTTGGAATCCTTTCAAGTCGAATGGCACAGCCCAATTTGTATTTTAACCCCTCAGTGTCCCACTCCCCCAGGGAAGGTCTGTGTGGGCAGGGCAGTGCTGGGAAAGCTGTGCTGAATGTCTTTGACACAGGAACCTCTTGCTTTGTGCTCTCAATGTGGATTTTGAGTCATTTAACAGCAGATCCTCACCTTGCTTTGGTGTAGACAGGAAAGATGTTTATGGTAAGCAGTGACCTTATGGAATTAGCAGGGAGACGAGGGACTGCAGCAGGAGAAGTGCTCCCTGCTCTCAGGGGCTTCCCTTCTCCCACCTGCCCCTGTCCTGGTGATGCCCCAGCCCCGAGAGCCTCCCGTGCTCAGCTGACAGCGTGTTCTTCACAGCTCTCAGTGTCCCCATCCAAAGGGATCCTGCTCCTGCATCCTCTGGGTCGGAGACTCGTGCCAGGGTTTTCCTCCCCAGACCCATGGCCCTTCCTGGCAAACCATCCCTTTGTCACTGGAACCCAAACATGGAAACCCACCGTGGCTTCCCTGCAATCCCTGGACAGATGGGAATGTTCATCCCAGCAGGAAAGGTCGGCACGAGGAGCATTAGTGTTGAGACTGCTCCAGTGGTGCAAGTCTCAATCCAAATTAATACCGAAAAATCTGACAAGTTGGTACCTGCCTTGCTGGAGCTTTAAGATCTGTACTAAAATTCCATCATCTCATCTTCCCGTTATTAAAATTTCAGCAAAATATAAAGTTTTCATTAATCTCCTGCAGCAAATTTAGTTCTCTGAACTGGCGGTGGGTTCAGCTTTTAGGACTACATTAGCCAGGGTATTAAACAAAACGTGTCATTCCTCAGGATCTCCAGTAAGAAGCTAAATCAGTTTTCAAGCATATTTATGCCACTTTATCTACCAGCATCTGAGCGATCGTTTCGAGCTGAGGTGCTTTATTAGCAGCTGGCACCGAAATTACTCCAGCACAATTATAAATCGCATTATAGTAATGTTGGAATTGGTGTTAATCCAACGTCATAAAAGGTAAAAAATCTTTAAAGTGTGTTATATTTTTTCAGTAATTGGCATTTTGGTTTAATGAGTTGTTACCTTTTATAAAGGCAGTACCTGCAGTGGTGATGGGAATACTCATCAGTAAATAAAGGGAGGCTTTGCACCAGCGTGCCTGAGGTGCTGCTGGACCATGGGAGATCTGTGCCAGTGCAGGCATCGAGGGTGGCACCTCTGGGCACAGGCCCTGCCCCGGGCTCCTTCCTGGTGACAGGCTGTGGGTGCCCAGCAGGTCCCCCCAGGATCCCTGTGGTCCAGGGCTGCCTCCTGCCCGCTGGGAACCTGCTGCTGGGACATTGGGCCACAGACATCTGTCCTCATGTCCTGAGTGCCTCAGTGACTTTGTTCTGGGAGGGAGGGTGGAATTTCCACCTCCCAGAGACACGGAACTGAGCATGTAATTCTCCCTCCCCCAGCCCTGTGGCCTTGAGCCGGTGCCAAACCCCCCTTCACTGCTCTTGCCTTGTTCTGCAGGTTCCAGAGGAGAAGAGGTGTCAGAGGAGGACCCCCAGATCGACATTGCCACGGTGCAGGACATGCTCAGCAGCCACCACTACAAGTCCTTCAAAGTCAGCATGATCCACCGGCTGCGGTTCACCACGGACGTGCAGTTAGGTAAATCCAGCCCTGCCTTGGGTAAATCCAGCCCTACCTTAGGTAAATCCATCCCTGCCTTAGGTACATCCATCCCTGCTGGAATGCTGGGAACGGAGCAGCTCAAACCTTTGGCCATCCCTGACAGCCACCTGTCCATCTCAGGCTGGTTTAAAGCAGTCACTGTCACCTTGGTGCATTTCCTCGTGGAGCATTTGAGAGTGTTTCTAGCATTTCAGTGGTTAAAAAAAATTCCTTTCGGTTGAAAATTCCTCAGTATTTTTATTACCCCCAATCAGTTGCACATGTTGCCTCTGAACGAAGGCCATTATTTAATGACCTCATATCTTTTTTTCAATCTAGGCTTCCTAATGGAAAGCTTCTTGCCAACTGTTTTATTATTTTTAAATGAGGCTTTGCAAAATTAAGAATTATTGGGTTTTTCCTTTTCTGAGACTGAAAGATTTTAACAACCGAGTGGAATCTGAGGTGGAACAAAATAAAACGAGCATTCTCTAAGGTTTTATATTGTCCCTATTGGCTTGCTGAATGCTTTTGAAAACCCGAAGGCCAAGGGCTGACAGAATCCTGAATTATAAAAGCCCCATTACTGTTTTAAAATGATTGAATGGCTTTTTATCTTTGTGTTTAAATTGTGAAAATTTGATTAATGATGCATTGGTAGGTGACCTGTGACATTCCTGCAAATACCTTCCATAAAGAAATGATTCAGCAGTAAAATATTAAGTGCCATAATGTTTACAAAATACATTTATTCCGTAGAGTTCAGCAGAATTGTTAAATTTAAACTATACCAATTCCTGTATTATTGTCAGTACAGTCCCTTCATTCTTCCATCCTGAAGCACATGGAAGAGTACGTCTGTAAAATTCCCCCAGAAAAGGCTTTTTTGTTTTATTTTGAGCTGTCTAGTTAAGGCAGGATTTATCTGCTGGTGCTGGAGCAGGGCAGTGCTGGGCATGTTCGCTGCATTTGAGCAAACTCTCAGGGTGTGATAGTTTGCTTCCAGTGAAGTTTGACTCACTGTATCTGGGAAGTGTCAGAAATGAGAGCTTGAAAAGGTCATGACAGATCACTAAAGATAAATGGTTAAGGGAGAAGAGCTGTTAAATGAAACAAATGGCTTAACTTGTGCAGCAGTGGAGGAGCTGACCCTGCCCAGTGCTGTAAGGACCATAAAATTTCCCTTTTATAACAATCTGTGGACTTGTGTGGGTTTGATGGCAGTGCACTGACAATGGGGGTTTTATAATCTAATTATTTTTCAAAAATCAAAGAAAACCCCAGTGGGTGTTCAAAGCTTGGACAAATGTAGAGAATCCAAACCTTTCGATAAAGTCGAAGTGAGTGTGTGTTGCTGAGGTTTTTCCTGAATTTTTTAAAGGTATTAAAAGAGAAACACTGGTAAAAAAAGGGGCTGTTTGGGTTCAGGCTGCTGCTGAGTGTTACGTGTTACCTGTGAGTGACAGGCTGCTCCTTCCACCCTGAATGGAAAAAACAGGGGCTAATTTTTTGGTTTTGCTCAGAGTAACTGTTCTGGGAGCTGTTCTCTGGCAGTTTGATGATGGCCAGTTGCAAAGACTTTTCTCTGTAGCATTTTTGTGCCATCAGTTTTACGTAGCAGCCACAGCAAAGGGACAATGTTTCTTCAGGACCCCGAGAATCCCAAGTCATTCCTTTGCTCCTGGTTGGCTGTGCAAGAGCAGATCGGCCAAGGGACCGTGGGTGCACTGGAAACACCCCTGTGGGTTTGGGGCAAGTGCTCCAAATAACCCCATGGAAGGTTGATTACATGTGACAGAACCCAGAAATGGTGGAGAAGCCCCTCACCCCTCCCTAAACTGTGCCCAGCTCTGTAGTAAAAACCAGGCTGTGGATGACCATGGGAGGAATGCCCAGCCCTCCTGAGGGAGAGTTTTATTGCAGTTTAAGGTCTGGGGGTTGTGTTTCAGCCCATATCACAGGGCAGTGCACACACAGCAGCACTCTCAGCAGTTTTACAAAGGCTCTATCATGTTATGGAGGAATAAGACACATTTGCTTGTGTATCACATTAGCAGAACTAACAGGAACATATTGTCTGGGAAAACGGTGGCTGGCAAGTGTTTCAGAAAAGGGGGGGCTCTTGCAGACCCCAACAAAGGAAGCAAGAACAGAACAGCGTTACTGGACACATCAATGACATTTCTTTTGATAAAATGAATGAATTAAAAAAATAGTAGGAGCAGCATTTTTACTTGGGTTTTGAGTATGACTGATTTGTGCTGTGAGACAGAGGCTGCAGAAGCCTCAGACACAATGCTGTTTTGATTTTAGGTTTCAACACATCCAGATTGTGAGAACAATAACAAAAAAAAGACAACATTCTTTGTCAATGTGCTCTCTGGATGTGGGTGAGCTTGAGCCAGCGATGTCGAGATACAGAAATAATGGATGAAGTATACAGCGACAATTTGCAGATAAAAATAATAGAAGTTAGAGTGTATTTTACATGATAAAAAAAAGATGAAAGAGGAGGAAGTCTGTTCCATCTGAGATGGTTACAAAATGGTGAAGTAGCCTCTGCTGAAAAGATTGATGCAATGGGGAGTGACCTTGGCTTGGAGCAGGAGCTGGTGATGTATGTATGAGCATCTCGCTGCTAAATGGACCCAGATTTGTAGCACTAATATACATGGAAGCCCAGAACCAAACTCAGGATGGCAATAAATCAACAGCCACTTTGGGTGTCATTTCTGGTTTATATTCCACTATTGTTCTATCACTTTAATTCATGTCACTATCATCTGTTCATCTGGAACAGTTTTATATAATTTTCCAGTGGAGCTACCTGACAAATCCTATCAAATTAACAAGGTGCATTAACAGTATTGACTGACTGTGAATTCTGAAGTTGCAGGACCAAACAGTGAAATTTTTTTGAGGATATTTTCAGGGGTGATGCTCTCAGAGGAAGGGATGGGAAACAGTCCTAACACACAAAGAATTTGCACCTTTATTTTTAGAACTTCCCTTGACTTTTTTTCAGTGAGAAAATAAGACTTTGTACCATCAACTTCCATATTTTCCTTAAACTACAGCAAATGCCATTTGGAATAATTAACCATTACAGTAAAATACCAATGCTGATTTTAAATAATCTGTCCAAAATTAAATCACAAACCAAAATGGGCTCCAGATACAGCCTCAGCCTGCTCAAATTAGTGAGTTCCAGCAGTCTGGGTGTTAATTGGGCTCTTGATACAATACTTAATTGAAATGTGAACTCTCTGATGTGACGTATGTTTAATGACAAAGCACATCCCTGGATTAATGGGGTGTTGCTGTAACCCACTGCAGTCACAGGGTGAGGGAGGATGACCTGGTGTTGGGGCAGGGGCTGCAGTGAGACCCCCACAGGTACCTGCCCCATGCTGTCTCTGTGCTTTGGCTCTGGAGTGGCACAGAATACAAACCAGCCATGGTTTGTAAATTCAGCCACAACCAGGCCTTAGGAAATACCCAGTTAATTTTGGAGGCCTTGGGAGCATTGTGTGTGCGTTACATCCTACTTTTATTTTGTCACATCTCTCAGAAGTTTCTTCATTAGCTTCTTTAGGTTTCTTGTGCTTCAAACAAGCCAAATGGGATGTCTTTGAAATCAGTGTCAGAGCCAGAACCCTCAGGAAGGAGAAGGTTCTCTGCTGTTTTTCCAGAGATGAAAGAGTTAAATGATATTTAAATGCTTTTTTCCTGCATTGCTTCCTTTTGTTGATATCTGGTGAGCTTCACCTGTAGCTCATGACTGAAGACACCTCCTTGTTTTTAATGCTCTGCACACCTTGTAAAGAGCTCCCTGCCAGGTTTGTTCAGGTGTGTCAGCAGCTCCTGGACTGGTTCCAGTGGGACACTCCTTGCCCTCTGCCTGCCCCAACAGCACTGGTGTGGCCCCACCTGGAGTTCTGGGGGGAGTTTTGGTCACCACAATATAAAAAGGACTTTAAAGGACTTTAAAAAAGGACCATGAGGATGGTGAGGGGTCTGGAGGGGAAGCCTTTTGAGGAGCAGCTGAGGTCACTTGGTTTGTTCAGCCTGGAGGTCAGGCCTCATTGGGATCCTCAACATCCTCACGAGGGGCAGCAGAGGGGCAGGTACATCATGATCTCTTCACTCTTGTGACCAGGGACAGGACCTGAGGAAAGGGCTGGAGCTGAGCTGGGGAGGTTTAGGTTGGATGTCAGGAAAAGGGTTTTCACTCACAGAGAGGTGGAGCATCAGAACAGGCTCCCCAGGGCAGTGGTCAGGGCCCCAAGCCTATGTGAGTTCAGGAGGTGTTTGGATAATGCTTTCATGCACATGGTGTGATTCTTGGGGTGTCCTGCACAGAGCCAGGAGTTGGACTCAATGATTGTGAGGGGTCCCTTCCAGCTCAGCACATTCTGTGATTCTGTTCTGTGATTCTATTCTCTGACTCTGGTGTCTGCTGTGCAGCAGATGGAGCAGGGCCCATGGTGATAGTGTCTATTACACAGAGCAGTGGTGACTGAAAAACCAGCAGTATCTCCTATAAATCTCACAGCTCATGTAGCTGCTGCTTCCAGAAGAGCTCTGTATGCGTTGGGAAGAATTTTTTCTGTGCTATTTCTCTCTTTTGGTATGCTTATGCAGGGGAATAAAATGCAGATTATCAATGCAGTTTGATAACCATTTGTTTCTGGTTTCAAAAGCTCCCGTGCTTGCAGAAAGCCCAGAAGGGCAATATACCTTCAGCCCATTTAAGATTTATAAAGTGTGTCAAACGGCTGATATGAAATCGGTTAAACAGATCACTGTTGTGGCTCTCTATTCTTTCTCATCTCAGGTATTTCTGGAGACAAGGTAGAGATAGACCCTGTTACTAATCAGAAGGCCAGCACTAAGTTTTGGATTAAGCAGAAACCCATTTCAATCGATTCTGAACTCCTCTGTGCCTGTGACCTTGCGGAAGAAAAAAGCCCAAGTGAGTAGTGCTTTTTATTTATGTTCCCTCTCCTCTCCCTCCCTGGATGTGCTCGATGTCCAAAGAATTATTGCTACCGTGTCCTTTTCTTTCTATAGGTGTATTTTATTCATTACAGGATGTTTTTAATCTGACTCAATTCTGTTATAGAGAACACAGCATAAACAGACACACATTTTACAGGTGTCCTTTGGTGCTGCTCTCAGCTAATGGCATCATTCAGTGTTTCTTGCCCACTGTCACACCAAGGGAACACTGGCTCTGCCCAGCTGTCTCCAGCCCCACAGCACATCAGGAAAATACATGTTTCAATATAATTGCAATTTTTTTGGATTTTTTTTCACATCCAGACTGGTGCAACTGAGGATCTTGGATATACAGTAAGTATGAGCTCAGTGTGAATTTGGCTCAGCCGTGGCTGAGTCACTGGGATCCCAGTCACTGGGATTGGAGGTGCTGCTCTGAGTGTTCCAGCTGTAGCAGTGGCTGTGCCAGGCTCTGAGGACAGGCTGGATGTCCCAGCTCACAGTCAGCACCCAGAGACCAGAAGTGGCTGTTCAGAGTGTGGCTTCAAAAGCCAAGGGCTTCTGGTTGTTGCATCAGTGGAGTAATGAGAGTCTCTATCTGGAAAATTTGTTTTAAAAAGCACAAGATGGGCCCTGGGGGACTCGGGCAATGTCTCCCAGTGGGGCCAAAATGGAACTGTCTACGATCAAAAAGCAACTGTAGTTCAAAAGCTCAGATGGATTTTATTGCACTTGTGCCTCTGCAGAGTAGGGATGCTGGTATTAAGTACTTATCTGCAAGGTGACAGAGAGGGAGAATTATGTGATACATATTTACAGAGGTAATGATCTGTTGAATTCTCTTGGAAGAGTAAATTTATGGCTGCCACAGATTTTATCAGCAATTATTGAACTATATCCTTCTCTCCTTCATTACCCCTCCCTACCTCCATGTTCTTGGTCTAGTCATTGTCTTCCTTTTCTGTCTCTCCATCAAGATTTCTTGGTCCTTGGGGAGGCACAATCCTAAGGAGAAGCTTCCCCAGTGACCAGGTGGTCTGAAATACATGAGGGTTGTGTGCAGGGCGAGGGGCAGTTTGCCCTGGTAAATCCTGTCAGATCTCTGGGTTGGAGCCACAGTTCATTGCAAATGCAAACACTTGAGGAGATAAAATTGTGCCTGAAAATGAGACTGTATTTGAAGAGCTGACCTTGAAACCCAAGGTTTCCACTTCTCTCAGCACCCAGGGGTCCCTGGAGACCTTGGGCCATGTCCTGCTGGGATGGGGCTCTCCAGCCCCAGAGGCAGCACCTGCTGCTGTGGGAAATGATGTCTGTACCCAAATCTTGCCAAGCCAGGTATTTCAACCCCCAAATAGAGTCCAGGTGCAGCAGGGCTGTACCTGCACATGGGGACCATTGAGGGAAGAATCACGGTGGCTTTGGAGAGGACACTGACAGGTTGCAACAGAGGCAACTCTTATGGTCCTGAGGGGTTTATTTGCACGTTTCATGTGACCATCTTAGACTTCTCCTACTAAATAATGGTTCAACAGAGTTCCAGAAGGAGAAAATACTTCCTTCTGAAACTGCTGACCTTTTCCCAACTCACTAAAGATGTTCCAAAAGTCATTATTTTAGGCCAGCAGAAGAGACTTTTAGTGTGACATCTCAGAATGATGCATTTTGTGGAACTGAGCAGCAGATCAGTATCTCTTGAATTTTAAATGGAAAAAAGTTATTTTAGTAGCATAAAGGAATGAAACTCACTGTATTTCACAAGTTTTGTCTGTGATTTTTATCAGCACGGTGATGTATGTTTGTAGCAGAGTTTACATCAAAAATTATTCCCAGATCTTCCTTGAATGAATTATTGCAAAGAGAGGCTGAGCACAGATAAGGTCTTTGAGTTCTGCAATATATTTTGTTTTCATATTTTTATCTTTTGTAACACAACCATGCTCCATCTCCTCTTCCAGAAGTGCTCTGCACACACACTGGTGCTTGTCCTGTTACGCCGGGTGAAACACGGGGTCTGGGTTTGGAGCTGCCTTCCCTCCCTGGGTGTCGTGGTAGGGTTGGAACCCAGCTGAGCCCTGCTCGGAGAGGTGAAGGGTTTGCAGGAGCTGCCACATGTGACTGTACTTTTTAGTAAGGACAAGGGGTGCTGGGAGTCAAGGCTGAGTGCTGGGGCCGGTGTCTCGGTGAGAGCCTTGTGTGCCTGTTCTTTGGTTTGCTCTGAACAGGTTCGTGCAGTGAAGTTTTAGTGGCACTTGCACGTGTGTGAAAGGCCTCAACAGCTTCAGAGCTGATGTGGTGTGAATATTTATGGATGTCTTGGAGCCGTTCTGGACAGGCTGAGCTTTCCTGTGCCACAAGTTTGTGGAGCTCAGAACTGCCTTCAGTGAGGACAGAAAATGAAAACAGAAAGCTCTGGCATCTCACTGGCCGTTAGTGGGGGGACTGTAGGCAGGGATGGCTGATGATTTTTGTTTGCCCTTGCAGTAGCCCTGGGTCAGAATTTGAATTTTTATTTGTAGATTGAATCTGACTCCCTTGATTTAGAGCAAGGGAAGAGGTGCTGGCCCTGCTGGCTCCCTCCAGTGCCATCAGAACCTGAGAACACCGGGCACAAATGGCTTCTTTAAATCAGGTTCAGCCTGATTATCACGAGAGATTCTCAATGTTTTGAGTCTTGAAAGGAAGCATCCTATCATGGAGAAATAAGATTTAAGCCTTAATAAAGTAGTTGTCATTTTTATAGCTGAAAAGAGCTTTGTATCTCAATTAAGTGTACATAATATAAAGTCTTAAGGAAGCAACATAATAAGTTTAATACAATTATATCCCTTTGCAATAGTGTAATTTAAAGGAAATCTGATTCTGGTAATGTCTCTTACATTACTTGGACAAGAGAGAAACTTCAGTGTCACTGCCCTCCGTGCCGTGCTCTGTGTCCGAGCGTGGCCGTGACAGATGTGCCATGTCCAGGGCTGCCTGGGGAGGGACCAGGAGCTCAGGGCTGCCTGGGGAGGGCCCAGGAGCTCAGGGCAGGGCAGCCCTGCAGTGCCACCGGGGCCGGGCAGTCGGGCACTCACCGTGGGCTTCTCCCATCCATCTGTGTCCTACACCAGCTGCAGAAATTGGATTCATTTGATAATTTACTTGAGACGCTGAAGCAACGTTCTCTGTGACCCTTTATCTGCCTTTTTTTTTTGTTTTCATAAAGCAGAGACATCTCAGTTACTAGGTCAAAATACCCTCAGTATGAAGGTAAGTCTAAACAAAGGTGTTCTGTAGGTCACGGAGTACACGGGTAACTTTGGTTTGTAATTTAATTGCCCGCTTTGCACCCTGCAGCTGAAGATTTCCTTTAAATTCTGATTCCATTGTTGCACTGGGGCTTAACAGAGTGTTAACCTGGTAATAGGCACAGGGCCTCCCCATTATATGTCTCGCTATCGAGCGGTTCTGCATGACTAGTTAAAAAAGATGGCAAGAAGATTAATGAAAGCCGCGAGTGCAGAAGGGGGGCAGGTACCTCGGCAAGACTTGCAGCGAGGAGATATTAGAGCTGAACCAGAGCTTGGCTTTTTCTTTATCCCGTGACCTTTGAACCTGCCTTACTGTCGAGAGCTGCCAGCCGAGCCGACGTTTTGATTGATGTTGCTACACGAGTCAGTCTTTCCCATTGAATTCCACATCTGCACGAAAATAGCTTTTCCAGCAGTATTCACCCTGGCTGTAAGTGATAGCCAGAGCCATGCCTGAACCCCCTTTATGTAGTTTTCATTTAAAGCTAAAGGTATTTGATGTTTTAATTCAGTGTCCAGTTCCTCCTGATTATGCACGTTGGGTAATACTGACTTAATGAATTCGTTGCTGGGTTGTGGAAGGGCTGAAAATACACAGAAAGCACTGGGAAGGCATCGGGTTCCTGCTGCTCTGGGAGCTCGAATAGAGACGTTGCAGGTTTGCTCAGAGCCTGCAGTGGGGCCAGAGCAGAGGCAGGGATTACCTGTGTGCTCTGCAAATGGTGCACAAAATGCCCTGTGCTGGTTCCTGAGATCCCCGCTCCCGCTGTGGGTAATGCAGAGCATCTGTGAAGTAACAGGATAAAATTCCTTCTTGATGGGAGACCAATCACAGGTTCTGATCAAAAGGTAAAAAAGCAGGTTCAGCGGAGAAAATGTTCCCAAACTTCAGGCTGGAAGTGAAAGGGCCGTGTGAGTGTGGAACAGAAGGGGTGAACCCACAGGCAGGTGCTGGGCAGGCTGGGGCTGCCTCGGGGGATGGCAGCGGGGCACAGATGGCCCTGGCTGTGCTGCCAGCCCCGTGTGCCATGGGGGGCTCCATGGGGGGCTCCACGGGGGGCTCCGTGTGCCATGGGGGTCAGGGCTGAGCCCGGGGAGCCTCGGGAGCCTGCATGGCCTGGGCAGCACTCGGTGGGACGTGTCCCACAGAACAGGGCCTGGAAGTGGGGGGTCCCGGTGTCCCTGTGCAGGGACAGGCAGTGCTTTGGGGGCAGTGGGGGGTCCCAGTGTCCCTGTGTAGGGACGGGCAGTGGTTTGGGGACAGCATCACCAGAGCAGCTCCTGCCACAGCCAGGGCTGTGCTGATTAACTGCGTCCCCCTTGAACAGCTTCTCCATAAAAGTTCTCCTGAGCGCAATCAGGAGCGTGCATTGCCTCATCCTTTTAACAAATCTGTTTTGTAGCCCTATTAAAAGGGGTCTTCATCTATCCTGTCAAAGCTATTCTGCTGGGGTTTTTTAGTTTAATTACACTATCCAATTAAAACTCCTCGCTGCATTTTGATTCGCCTCTCCTCGGGCCTGAGTGGATGTGACATTTACAAGGCTCTCCTCTCAGGCAGACAATGCGTGATTGATGAGCTGCAGACGCAGTGGAGGAGCCGATTGCCATGTGGAAACACTGCTTAGTGCATTTTGATTTATTTATCATCTTTTTTCCCCAACAAGGTTGCCGGTGAAGAGGTTTTGGGCAACCCCAAGTTCCACCTCAATTTTCAGCGTTTTTGCAAAAATCTTTATTAGTATTCTGCCTTTGATAATAATTTGAGGAAGAAACAAAAGGCTTTGAGGGGAAAAAATCCAGATGTGTGAATAGTTACCACAATCTGACACAAAAGTGGGGGTGTGCAGCACTTCAGTTGCAGCTCTGCTTTCAGGACATCTGGACACAAGGCACCCTCTAACAGCAATGCTGTGTAACAAACCTGCAGTGGAACATAAAGATGAGTTGGAGAAAAGAGATCATGGAGTATTCTGCTCCCTGAGAGAATGGGGCAAGCCCACAGGATTACAGCTGGTATTTTTTTCCTTAACATTCATATAATTTGTTCCTACTAAAGTACTGCCTGGTTTGAGAGGATCCACTCCAGGCTCCTGGTGAGCAACCTGAACCCATCGGTAGCTCCACTGGTGTCAGCAGGGTCAGGATTTCATCCAGAACTGATTGCCATCACTGCCTCTAAATTATGTACCTCTGGGATAAATATCACTTGCATAAAATGGGCTTAACCCCCCTTTTACACCCAGGCCAACATTCCTGGTCAGTCTGTGTCCCTAACCAAGCTCGGTACATTGCTAGTGTGTATTTTATTTTTCTTATTCCTTGCCTTTTTGCTGGTGTATTTCTAATTCTTTTTCATCCTTTCTGGGCCTGTGAGAAGAGATTTCAGGGTCTGATCCTGTTGGGGTCACCATTCTGAAGTGGTGAGAATCAGTGATGTCAAACGATGTCCATAAGTGCTTTGTTCTTCAGAGAGGTCCTTCTCCAGCTATTTATTCCACTAATAACTCTTAATTGTTGACTTCTGCCTTATGGCCCTGTAATGACAAAGCAATCATCAAGGTATATTGAAAAATTAACATAAATTTGCATTTCCCAGTGTTTGTTTTCTGTTTTGTCCAATTCATGAATATTCTTTTCATCCTCCATCTAATTAGTGATTTAATTCTGTGCATACTGTTTAAAGAGTGGCTTTGGCAAAGAGATGGTTTTGCTATGGGCTGAACTGTGGGGTGGGAGGGGAAGAAGAAAAACTCTTTCCAGTCTTGTCAGATTCGGTTAAAAAAATTGTCTTTTCTTGTGCAAATTCACATCCTGCCAAAGCTTTCCAGGCATTCTGTATTTCCAGGCACACTGTTTTCCAGTATTTTTTAGACTCTGATAAAAAGAGTTTATTACTTAGATTAAGAAGTGATAATTTTTTCACCTTATCAGGTGCAGAGCAGTGGCCCTCCGAGGGTTTGGATGTTTTCCCGGGATTGCAGGAATTAGCACAGGATTTACTGCTGCCTGTGGAAGCACACTGTGGTCAGGAATTCTGGAGCTGAGCAGGATTGCTCACTGCTGTGTGTGAACCCAGGGACAGGGAGCAGCTGGGCACTGGAGCACGGGGCAGAGGCTGCACAGGGGTCCCACCAGCCTTTGGGAGGGGGAGGAGAGGGGTGAGCTCGGCACTGCAGAGCCTCTGCCTTCCCTTGTGGGGCTAAAAATCAGGAGACAGGGCAAACAGCTGAATGTAAGTGGTGGTGCTGAAGGAGTCAATGAGCTCTCCTGGGTGAATTCCCAGTGAAGCAGCATCCTGCCCTGAGCTCTCCTTGGTGAATTCCCAGTGAAGCAGCATCCTGCCCTTCCGCCGGCATCGGCTGTGGGCTCCTGTACCAGAGTAACCACACAGGAACCCATTAGTGCTGGGCTTGGAGGAGATTTATCAGCATTCTGAGTGGGGGCCAAAGGGCACTGTGGGGAAGATGTTGTTCTCCTGCTGTGGCAGTGGGGTCAGCCCTGGGCTCAGCAGCCGTGGGGCTGGAGAGGAGCACAAGACCCCTGGGCTGTGCCCAGCTCGCTGTGGGCTGGGCCTGCACAAAAGCTGCTGGTGACAGAGGAGTTTCTGTCATTCCATTTGCTTTCCATAACTGTTTTATCAGATAAACATAGTTGGGAATAGCATTGATTTCCTGTTGTGCAGCTAATTAATCCTGATTGCAGGACACTGAAGTTCCCCCCAGACACCAAACCACTGTGGGTGTGGAACTGGTGGTACTGGAGCTGCTTGTGCAGAGTCTGCTTGTGGTTTGAACCTCCCATCACGTGCAGTAGGAGCCACTTGAGCTGCTGCTGTTTGTTACCAGTTCCTCTTATACAGAAACATCAAACCATGGAAGCTCCTATTGATCTTGGAATTGTCAGGGGTGGTGCTCTATTGGAAAGAGGTACATCACATATTTAAGCACTCTTGGAAATGGAAATCAATCTCACAATTCATAAATTCTATCTGGCTAGAAGAGTAGCAGAGCAAAGTGCCAGTTAGGATTTCAGTGCACTCATATTTCACACCGTAAATAGTGTGATGTGGACTCAGAACCCATAAACATGATGCTGTAATGGGGCTTTCTAAGGAAAAGTCTTCTTGGCTTCTTTCCACTGCATCACGAGTGATGGGCAGGATGGGGCTGCGTGTCCTGCACAGCTGGTCCTGCACAGCTGGTCCTGCACAGCCATGGATTCAGCAGCAGTGTCGTGTCCCCTGCAGCTCCTGGAGCCCCTGCAGGGTGTGAGTCCAGGCTTGGCCAGAAAGGCAGGGCCGAAGCAGCCCCTGTGCCAATGGGACTGGGAGCTGCCCCTGGCAGTGCTGCCTGGTGAGCTGTGCCAGAGGGGTCCCACACAGCACGGGGTGGGCACTGGGCTCCCAGGGAGCAGGGCAGGCTCTGTCTCCCACTGCTTGGCACTTTGGGATTGGTATGGGCATCTGTTGCTCTATTGCCTTGGGGAGAGCTGACTCCTCACATCTGACAATCAGTGCTGGGGGAAGCTCTGGGTTGTGCTGCTGCTCAGCTGGGCTGGTGCTTCTGCCAGAAAGGAGGAGCAGCTCCCTGGTGTGAAGGAAAGCTGGGGGTCCTGGGTGGGGCCATCCCATGCTGTGCCACCCCACACACCCAGCCATCCTCCACCACGGCAGCAGTGAACACCTGAACAGGTTTTGTCTTGATCCACAGCAAGAACCACCCAATGAACTTTCAAACCCAAAATACAGCAGTGTACTGGGGTCCTCCTGACCCTGTTCTGTGCCACTCTCATTTTCAGTAATCAGTGTCTGTAACTGGAATGTTCAGTGTCCAAGGAAAATGGTGGGAGCTGGTGGGCGTGGTGCTGTGTCCCATCCCCAGGAGTGGTGCAGGGGCACTTTTGGAATCATTAAGATGCTGCATTCCAGGCAGAGCTGCATTCATTAACATGCTGATGAGCTCCCAGCTTGGATTTCTGCATTTTTAGTACCACTAGGGTATCATTTGTCAAATGATTTAAAGGGTGGGGTTTTTTCTTATTATTATTAGCCAATTTTTCAATATAGAATTTATATTCCAGATTAGTGCGTCATAATGGTGTTTAATTAACACTCCACAATAAAATACTTGCGTCTCAAATTTCCTGGCCACCGATCTGAGCATATATCAGTCACTTTTTGGAAATCTGGAGAATTAGATAATGTAAATAAGATTTCCAATTAGCTTTCCTGCAGGAAAGACCTGGATTTACAGTAACGTGGCTGCTGCTTTATGGATTGCTAACTCTGGCTGTTGAACTGAATAAATTAGGAGAAAACTGTTGGAAAAGTATCATGTATAGAACATGCTTAATTTTCACTTTGAAGCCATCAGCATTCACACAAGTGAAGGATATTTTGCCCTCCCACACGTCCCAGTTACCCCTTTGTGTTGCAGTTGTCCCTCCTGGCACTGCAGGTCAGTCCTGGGCCGTTCTCCCAGGGCAGCTGGGGGGTGACCGGGCCGGTGGCACCGTGTGTCCACTGCACCCCTGGGACCCTCCGTGTGGGACTGGGAGCAGCCATGGAGCTGCCAGCTAATTACAGCCACAGTTTAATTGACTTCCCGCTGCAGGAGGGGCAGTCCCGGCTCCCAGTGTGCTGGGCAGGTCCCCTGGTGCTGGGCAGTGGGGCCATTCCCCTTCACCAGCAGCAGCCGGGGGGGTTCAGGGCATGTTTTGGGGTGAGGTTTTTGAGTGATGATTCTGGGATTAATTGCCCTTTCTTTTCCACCCCCCCTCCTCTGTGCGCGGTGATTTTCCGGTGAGCGCCCGTGTGGGGCGAGCAGAGCTAACCAGCCATTTGATGGATTTTTGCATTTCCTGCAGTGGGGATGTGATGGGAAAAGGAACTTTATTGACTGGAGTTCAGCTGCTCCTGTAAGCCACCACTTGCCTTAAATTGAAATGACATGAGAAGCCTGTCAGCATTTCATTGCTTCCTTCTGTCGTGCTGATGGTACGCGGAGATCACCATCTGTGGTTTTCTTCTGTCAGGCACACGAGCTCTGCTCAAACTTTACAGGAATATTCTGAACAGTTTTTTTCTTATCTTCGCAGGTCATGCAATATTTAAACTTACATATCTAAGCAATCATGACTACAAACACCTTTACTTTGAATCAGATGCTGCTACTGTCAATGAAATTGTACTGAAGGTGGGTATTAAATTTTAACGTGACCCAAAATCCTGGTGTTTTACCACTTGTTAGACATGAGAGTGAGAATTCAGGAGGCTCTGGAAACACACGAGGCCTGAGGACCACTGAGGTGTGTTTAACCTGCCAGACTGGCTGCTCCCTGCCTGTTGTTTTATTCATCCTTCAGACAGTTGCTGCCTGTCCGTGTGTAGCATTTCCTTTTGTGCTTGTTTCTAGTTAACAGAGCCACCAGTTTTCTGTGGAATTTTATAGGAAACTACCAAATTTTATTGTGTCCAGGTGGTTCCCACCCCTGGACACGAGGTGCTCAGCATCCCCATGCCATGCAGAGGTGCAGGGGCTGGGTGGGGCTGGGTGCTCCTGCCCCTCACCCAGGTGTTCCCACAGAGCACCCAGGGGCTCTTCCTCACTGGATCCTCCATCAGGATCGTTCACTTCCCTTGGGGCTCTGCACAGACACGTCCTCCCTTGCTTTGGGAAACAAATTATTGTTACACCCTTGGAAGAGTAAATGGAATTTTCCACAAGTTCATCTTTCGTAGCAAGTCAAGATTCAAAAGCAGTAATTCTGGCAAACCATCTGTTATGTTTGCTTTTATTGGCTGTGTGGAGTTTGGAGGATTGTTAAATAACTGACGTGCGATAAAATGACTTTTATTCATAACACAGAAGGTGAATGTGTTTGAGGGGTTTTCTGAGCTGTTAGGCCAATTCTTTTGTTCCCACTTTATCTTAAATCAGCTATTGTAATCCAGAACACTTGGAATCATGGCATCACAAAATCACTAAGGTTGGAAAAGACCTCCAAGATCATCCAGTCCAACCTTTCACTGATACCCCCATGCCCACTAACCACATCATGGTCTGCTTGGTTTTTGAACACTTCCAGGGATGGTGACTCCACATATCTGAGACTGGTCATAAAAGAAGGCTGAAAAAAAAGGTTTACTGTGAATAATATGAATATTCAAGAGAGAAATACTATCAAACAGTACTTTTTTCTTAAGTTGCCATTCGTTTACCCGGAACATTCTCTGGTTTCAGGCACAAGTCACCGGTTTGTTTTCAATTCCATCAGCATTAGAAGATGCAGAAAAATCAGACTTTTCAAATTAGGTTTTTTACATGATCAAGTGAGAAAAATGGAGGCTTTATTGACCATGAAAATTCCCTATATTTTTATGCCTTAAGCTGTAATATGCAATGAAAGTGAAACACTCTACAGTGCATAAAATTGTGCAAGTTTTAAGCCACAGCATATTAACCAGCTAATGGCAGACCAAAGGGCATTTTTATCTTTTTGATTCTTGCATTAACCTTCCATTAAAATTATCTGTGAGATTATCACAAAGCACTGGAGATAATAAATTTAGGGAGTAACAGGCTTGTTAAATATCATTTAAAAATGCTTTCATCAAGTAAAATGTGCCAAAACACAGAAAAACTCTGAGTTCAGCTGAGTATGCAAACATCATAATGGAAGAATTATTTTTATTGAGGCTGATAAAGTCCTTTATTGAAGCCCATTAGAGGATTATCCCAGTGCTGGGGCTCCGCTCGCTGCCTTCACCAGAGATTTGGGTGACCAGGTGGGACAAGGGACATGGGTGGATGTGCTGGGCTCTTCTGGTGCTCCAGGCTCTCTCTGTCATCATTGTCCTGGTGGCCACTGGGGCCAGTTACCCCCAGGCCCTGTTGGGTGCGTGGTGTGGGGGGTCCCTGCCCGTCCCAGGCCATCCTGCCCAACCACCGAGGAAATTAAACATCCCCTCGTGTCTTGCAGGTTAACTATATTCTAGAGTCACGAGCAAGCACAGCCAGAGCAGATTATTTTGCTCAGAAACAAAGAAAACTGAGCAGGAGAACAAGCTTTAGCTTCCAGAAGGAGAAGAAGTCGGGCCAGCAGTGAGGCCGAGCCTCGAGCAGAGCCGCGTGTGCCGCCTTCGGAGCCGCTCCCGCCGCACAGGGGGAGCCGGGACTGGGGAGCTCCTGCTGCCCGAGGGCAGGAGCTGCGGGAAGGAATCTGAACTATCCCGTCTCTCACGGCTGGAAGATTCTCCCTCGTTGGTGATGGGAAGTCTCCCCTGTGACAGAAATAAAGAGCCATATCAGCCGGAAAGAAGACTGTTACGCTTCAGGTTCCTTTGATTAGAAATAAGAGAATGACGTAGACTGGCATCATTTAATTACTGTATTATGTACAATCACAAGAAGAGATGTGATTACATATTATTTCACAGCCTGGTTAAAATAAATTATATACATCTGTAATCCACCCACGTACACGCAGGTATTGCTTGTGACATGATCAAATTTCTAAAAACAAAATGTAGGACAAATGTATCCATTTTTACTATTAATAAACAGATGTAATCTTTTTCAAGGTCCATATGATGCACAGTTCTTTTGGGGGGAGGCTGCAGTCCCAGATGGTTTCACTTCTGTTGCTGAAGTGCAGGAGGCATCCGTGAGCCAGGAACAGCAGCCGTGGCAGGGGAGCTCTTAGTGAGGGATGCTGAGACAGTCGAGTCTGTTGTGGTTTGTTTTGTTCAAAAATATTTTTATTTAACTGTGCTTTTCAGCTTTGCATACGCTTTATTGGAAGTTCCTTGCTGTAGTTGGAAATCCACAGCAGCGTCTTGGTGCTGGAGAGGAGCATCCTCCTGCCCAGGACCCACAGCTGCTGCTGCCCCAGGCCTGGCCCTTCCTCTGGGGCACCTTGCACCTGGGACTGAGAAATGCCTTCACCTTTTCTTAATATTATTCTTTAAAAATAAAAATTAATACCTACTTTGTACTGGGATTTGTAACTATGTTGGCCTTGTCCATCCTTAATACATCAGGGAACATGGGAATGGGATTGCTGAGACCCAGAGCCGCGTTTTTGGTTGAATTCACCACAGGTGTCTTTCATCCATCTCTCCAGGTCGCTGGAGCTCTGCACACACATCCCCATGTCATGGAACTGCCCTGGTTCCACACGACATTGAACCCCCCGGGGCTGGGGCCAGCTGAGCACGGCAGTCCCACGGCACAGCCCGACCTCTGCCAGCCTCAACCCTTGCTTTTGTACAGAGAAAACGTCCTGAGCCCTGAGCCTTAACACCTCGTGCAGGAACAGCCCCGGGGCAGAGGGAGGGTCTGTGTCTCACCTGTTGAGGGAGGGTCTGTGTCTCAC